TTTTTTTTTGCTTGTAGGAATCGAACTCAGGACTTTGCGCTTGCCAGGCAAGTGCTTGTGCCACTGAGCTATCTATATATTCCTATAAAGTGATATGTGTATATATATATATAATTTTTATTTAACCTTTGAAATGACCTGGGAAGATATATTCTACCAATATTATCCTCCCTATTTCACAGGCACAAAGCCTAAGACACAAGGAAGTTTAATAACTTGCCAGAAATCACATAGCAGGTACAAGATTGAGCTCTTTTTTTCTTCTTTTTTGAAACAGGGTCTTGCTCTACAGTTCAGGCTGGCCTTGAGCTCACTTTGTAGCCCAGGCTGGTCTTGAACTCACAATGCTTCTCCTGCCTCAGCCTCCCGAGTGCTGGGATTGTAGGCGTGCTCCACCATGCCCGGCAAGATTGAGCTTTGAACTGAATCTAGCTAGACTCTCCGTTCTTAACCACTACACTATTCTCTTTTCAAAGTCAACTGATTTGTCTGGAGCTGTACTGAGATGTTTGGTAAATATATCAAGTATATCATCAGTTTTAAACCTTTAAAAAATAATTAAGACCTTTTTATGGCAAATACAAGATACTGCAAAATACACAATAAAAAATTCAATTCATTCTAAAATGAGTACATAAATGATTCAGTATCATCCTTAGAGGTAATCATTAGCAGTGTGGTATGTATCTGTCCGGATCTTTCTTTGATTATACAGTAAGTCCCCAACTTCTGAATGAATTCCGTTCTGCGAGAATTGTTTATAAGTCAGATTTGTTTGTAAGCTGACAAAGTGAGTCTTACACAGTACACCTGTGAAGGTTCCCCACTCAGATGTTCATAAGTCATGGAATTACTGTATGCATTTACATACCTAACCCCTAGATGCATGGATATGTATGTGTAGAAGGTATGTAGACCAATGTTTGTCTTTTTCTGCGTAGGTGGAATTATACTCTACACTGATGACATTTTGGTAGGCCTTGGAGATCTTACCATAACACACAAATCTGCCTCATTCTTTTTTCTTCCTTTCCTTTTTTTTCTTTCTTTGTAACTTACTAGTGTCTTTTAAATAGAATGAGTTCTGGAAATACCCTCATGGTGTAGGATTCCTTTGAGTGGGCAAAATAGCAGCAGAGGGCTCCAAGAGAGTTTAAGGAAAAAGATGGCTGTGAGAGACCATGGTAAAAGGATCACCCCCAAATACTTGTAAGAGTTTGCATTCATTCCTAAGGCACCTGTAACAAACTGCTGCAGAGTGGGTGACTTTACACAACAGCAATGTATTTCTTCACAGTGTGGAGACCAGCAATGCAAGATGAATCTGTCCACCGGGCCCTACTCCCCCTTCCAGGCCCCCTCCAGCTTCTGGGGCTCCCAGCAATCTTAGGCCCATAGCTCCACTACTCCTATCTCTGCCTCCTTGCTGTGCCTTCTTCCGTATGCAGGTGTCACTGTGTCTGTCCTCTTATGAAGACACCAGTGACTGGATTTTAGGCTGTCCTGATCCAGTATGAATTCATCTTTTTCTCCTCCCACCCCTGCAGTACTGGGATTGAACCCAGAGATTTTACCCTGAGATATACCCTTCCCTTCTTCTTTTTCATTTTTAAAAATTTGGGACAGAGTCTTGCTGATGACTAAGTCGCCTAAGCTGAGTTCAAACTTGTGATCCTCCTGCCTCAGCCTCCCAGAATGCTGGGAACATAGGCATATGCCTCCATGACCAAGTTGACTTCATTTCCATTTCATTACACCTGCATAGACCTTACTTCTAAACAACAACACATTTTGAGGTTATAGAGCCACATGTTTTGGGGTGCATATGGAAGAGTCCCTATTCAACCTGCTGTACAGGTCTAGTTTCCACTTAAATGAAGGTGATGCTAATACTCAGCTGCTTTAACATCTATCCTCTTGCTTAGACTATAAGGAGTAGGTGCATAGGTTTTGAGGGACCTTCATCTGAGAAACTCAATGCACTGTTGCACAACTCCAAATTTTATTTCATTTTAGATATGAAAATAAAACTTCTCATGGGCAGTGATGCAGAACAGCAGAATTTTAAGCAGAGGATCTGAATTTAAGGGGCTCCCCCACGCGTTTTCATGGTATAGCTGAAGCTTATTTATATACAGTATTGCGGTATCTTTACAACTTTGCACTAGATCTTTTGCTTTAGCCAAGATCCAGCCTGCACAGGAGGAAAGGAATAAGATTATTTAAGACAGAACTAAACAAACGAATTCCAGGCTAAATCATTAACCCTCCAATCACCCTCATTCAGGGGAGAGAAAAGGGAATAATAGTTCCAGTCTCCTCACACGTCCTCTCATTTTAGCCTTGGCAAGAACCCCACGGCTCCTTCTTTCATTTTAGGTGAGGTGGGCTCTCGACTCCTGAGACAACCTACGTCGTCTCCAGGCAATTTCATTTACAAAATTGTCCTTAAGAAGTGGGTTCTAGCCAGGTGTGGTGGAACACCTGTAACCCCAGCACTCTGCGGGGCCGAGGCAAGAGGATTCCAAGTTCTCAAACTCAGACTCACCAAGAACCTGTGGGGGCGGGGGCAGGGTGGGGGGCGCTGAGCTGTAGCTCGGTGCAAACGCCCTGCGCTCAATCCCCGGTACTGTGGAAACAAATTAAAAATAGGTTCTTCTTCTACTTATCATCTCTATGAGGCATACTAGACCGTGGGGCTCAGAGAGATGCAAACACGTGGGGGGAAGACTGGAAGGATATATAGCAAAGGTTCTGTGTGATTTGCTTTATTTCCTAAAGTTATACAAGCACACATGAATCACTCTTCAACACAGTAATTATGGGGCTTTCCGATCAGGCTGTCAGAAAGTGGCAGATACGGGGTGGGGACAGGGTTTTCTGGACTTCGGGTGTCACGGCTGGGCCCCCGGGACTGCTTCGGCTCTCAGGACAGCAGAGGAGGGTTTGGTAGGAGGGAGTCCCAAGCCTGGGGCTCTCCGTGACAAGCTGTCCCGTGCCACCTCCTCTCCACCCCACACTTCCGTCCGTCGCTCCGAAGGTTCCCGAGGACATCCATCTTTACATTTACTTGCGTGATTGTCCGGGGACTAACCCTCCAAAAGGAGATGCTGGAACACAAGGCGTTCTCGCCGGCTTTGGGACTTGGTGGTTCAGCGCTGGGAAGGCGCCTCCCCTAGGAGTGTGGACTGAGCCACAGGGTGACTAGGATCCTTATCAGCGCCGCCCGCACCGCGGCTGATGCGAGACCCCCGCCCCCAAGGCCGGTGGTTGCGCCAGAGCCCGTGCGCGCGAGCGGTGGTGACGTTGCCGCTGACGGCCGGCCGCGGCGGGGGCGGAGGGCGGCCAGAGGTGAGGGGAAGAGGGCGTGTTCCGGCCCGGAGCCTCCCGCCGTCGCCCGCCACGAGGCCTGGGGGGCGCCCTCCGTGCCCTCTCTTCCTCCCTCGGGACACACAGTAGCGCGCGCCGCGTCCTCAGGCGCTCGGGCTTCCCCGCGTCACAGCAGCCAGGGCGCCCCCGCGGCGCTGCCATTCACAGCTGCGGCGACAATGCAGGCGCGCGGCTCCGGGGCGCGGCGGGCGCTGGGAGCGGGGACTTCGGCGCCGAGCAGCAGGTCTGGGGTGACCGAGTCCCCTCCAGGAAAGACAGCATACAAAGACTCGAGAGACAGAGAGCCGGTGGCACAGGCGTACAGGGACAAAGGACAGCGACAGCTACGGAGAGGCGAAGACCGAAGACAGGCAGCTAGAGAGACGGACTGACACGGGACAGGCAGCCAGACGCGCGCGCAGAGGGCAGCCAGAAGCGAGCAGACCCCGAGGTGTTGGGGCCCGCGGAGCCGCGAGGGCGCCCCGGCGGAGCGGCGCCTTTCCCGCTCTCCGCCGCCGCCC